ATAGTGTTCTCTGCAGCCACCCTGATGCTGAGAAGTGATTAAGGGTGGGAAGAAAACTGAAAGGCCCCAGCCCTTTCTCCCACATTCAAAAGCAGTGCCACGACGGGTACAAGGGGTGGGAAACCTTCATCCAGATGGAAGTGGCAGCAGTTGCCTTTTCCAGGCTTCCCTCAAAGGAAAGGGGAGTATTTTCCAGGGGTTAATTTAATGTCCTGGAGGGTGGAAGGAGGGGACTGTTAGCACTTCACAGATGTGAAAAGAAAGATGTGACTTTCCGTCCCCACAGCCCTGACTGAGATGTCCCGGGCAATTGACAACAGAGAGTTGATTTCTTGTGCTGCTAAATTTTGGCATAAAGGCAAAGCAGTTGTACCCAGTAGGTCCTGTAAGGGAGGGCAAATGGGAGCTCTGACTCCCAGCCCTCGGCTGAGGCCAAGGATGGCTTTGCAACCAACTGGGTGTAGTGCCCATTTATTCAAGGAGGAGGGAGAACATCTACGTTTCTTGGAAAAGGTTTTCCATTTGACTTGTATATGGGCAGCCCAAAGGCTGCCCTTGACTCCCGGGGGGGTCACAAAGCTGAGGACACCTTGTGCTTTGTCCCCTTGGTTCTCTTGCTGACCCAAGGCACGGGGCAGCACGGGCACCCCCCTGTGATGGGTGGGCTGGGGAGGGGCTGTGGCTTTTTCTCTGGACGGGGTACCAGAAAGGATGAGTCCATCCTTTAATCATCAGATCATGCTGCGTCTTTATAACTGCTTTTGAAACAGCGTCTCTGAAGCAACCCCGTTTTCCTTCTTACTTTAAAAACTTTGACTTCAGTTTAAATCATTCCCAAACCCACCATCCTTTGCACCTAAACAGGGGTGTGAAGATATGGCTGGGTGGAGCTGTATGAGATGGGCTAAGAATGTAGGGAAAAGGGTTTCTGTACCCAAAAGCTTTTCTGCATTTCCAATTTTAGCATCCGGTCTACTAAGAGAAATAGTTCTTTAATGCAAGCCTTATAACCACATGTCATTCAGAAAAGTTTAGCTAAGAATTAAACTAAACATCAAATCTGGCTGAATGTGTAATGAATAAATAAAGCCTTTTCCTTTCATGTACCCGTGCCAAAATCAACAAGCTCTATTAGCAGATGAAACAATGCTGATGCCAAATAAAAATACCCCTGACCCATCAATACGGGCTAAGAGCTCGGCCCCGCATCAAAGAGCGTTGTCTGAACAAGAAATACTGTCTTGACACCTCGGGTGGGGGGTAAAGGAGCTCTGATCCTGGTGATGAGCTGGGCTCCCTGTGCCACCACCTGGGTGTAGGGAGCTCTCACGGGGTGTCAAGGAGCAGCAAAGCCTTTCCATGACGGCCACTGGCAAGCAGGGACTCTGCTCCTCTCCTCTATGTCCCATCTTGCTTTTGCTAGAATGATTTGGAAACCCCTTGAGCTGCAAACCTGTTTGGAGCAGGGACCATGGCTTTGGTGTTTGCTTGCTCCCCGCTGCCCACTCTGGGTGTAAATTGCCCACAAAACCTTCATATTGTTTTATCATGTCTGCAAAACGACAATGCTTGGAAGCGAAGCTCTCCAAGGTCCCCATTCAGTATCAAAGAAGTGCTTCAGCATCTCAGAACATCCTGATTCCTGGGAGCACCCTGCCAGCCGTGCCATCCTCCTCCTCCCCGGGAGGGTGGGATGGTGAAGTAATGCCGTATCCCCCCTCCGCCCCTCGCAGCCCGTGCAGCTTTGCCATCCCCCAGCCCTGCCCGTCCTGCACACACCCCTTTCATTTGATATCTGCATCCAGCTGCTCTGTGCCGTGCCCTGGATGTGATCTTTGAAGTCTCGCCCTTCCCTCGGCATCCTTGGTTAAAAGATCTGTTCCCTATTAGCCTTCAGTCACGCTTTTAGATTCATTCAGGCTTTTATTTACTTATCCATCTGTCTTCCTGCTCCCACCACTCCCCCTGCCCTGCCAGGAGGGAAAGGACAATTCATTTTTCAGGTGACCCTGCCAGAAAGGCACTCACATGAAGAGGAGAAGGTTCAGAAACTGTGGAAAAAGCAAAAACCCCCTGACTTTAACAAGCAGCAAAACGCTTCCCAGCCAGAAGGGAGCAGCCAGATGTGACTCGAGCTGCTGTAGAACAGAAAAGCCAATCCTCCCAATAATTCCTGCAGTCCCCCGGGGGCTTCCTTTCACAGAACTCTCTGCGAGTGCTGCTCAAAGTTGTTACTCCTGTAGTGTGTGATCCTGCGGGCTGTGCAATGCCTCCTCGGTACCACTACGGCCATGTAGGAAACATTCCCTGTCCTCCAGGGTCCTGACTGTCACCAGGACTCCCCACCTCTGCCTCCCCTCAGCGACACCCCGCACGGGGACATCGTCCAGCTCCCTCTTGTCCTGCTGCCTTCAGAAGGGAGGGATGTTTGCCTGTCTTTAATTTTGATTTCTGTTGTCTGAGCGGTGCAGGCCTCCTGCTGGGCTGCGCTTAATTCTGGATAACGTTAGTTTAACTGCACGGACAGTACCCTGCTGTTTTGAAAGACACCTAAGAAAGCAATATAGTCACCGTAAGAACCTCTCTGCTGGAAAGCCAGGCTCCTATGAGAACCCACCTGTTACGTAAAAATAATTAAAACCTGAAGAGAAAGGATAAGAGGACACTGAAAGGCATCTCAGAGGGCAAGGACCTGCCCAGGGTTGGTGCGAGCCACCAGCCCTCCCCGCTCGGAGGCTGTAACGATCGGTGGGCAGAGACATTGATTTTTGCCCAGCTCTTCCTTTGCACAGGGGCAGCAAAACTCCTCTCGCATCCTCTGCGGGCACCGCTCGCCTCTCTCTGCACGTCAAGAGGTGTCAAGTCACCACCCAGGACCGGAGATGGAAAGGCCATTTCTTGCCGATTCCGCTTTCTGCTGACCAGAAGGGGATGCTCAGCAGTAAATGGCCACGTGTCACTCTGTGACACAGGCCATCAAAATGTACCTTGATGGTCTCCCAGCACACACTGCCCAAGCCCTGGGGCTGGACCAGAGCCTGGATCTCTCCTGCAGCCACCTCCCACCCTCTGCACTGAGCGCTGGGGGGGCTCCTTGCTCACCTCAGCACGGCTGCTCTTCTTCTGCTTCATTTTTAAAACTCTTTAATCCTCTGGAGAGGACAGCGTTGCTGTAAGATGGGGGGAGAAAGGGCCATGAATACAGGGGGGAATTTCATAAACCTATCCCCAAAAAACCTAAAAAAAATAACTTGCAATATATTACTCCTGTCTTGGCTTGATTTTTCATCAGGGAGTTGCTCGGGGACCTTGTTGTGAGCACTGGTTTCTGTTCCAGGAGTTGGGCCAGGCACACACCCCGGGGTGAGGCAGGGACAGGAAGGCAAATCCATGTTTTGCGTTTGTGTAACTCCCATTCACGGCTGTACACGGTGTTTGCAAGTGTTAGAGCACATGGCAGGCGTACGCTACGAGGAAATACTGCTGGTGCCCAGAATAGAAAGATTTTAGCTCAGTATTGACTGAACCAAGAGATGCAGAGAGCTGATTGCAGTTTGTGTCTTTTGCTTCCTTGGAGGTCAGTGGAGCTGAAGTCTGGAGCATCCTTAGCCAGAAGGGGTTTGCAAATAGCTGCAGTGAACGTCGCAGGGAGAAATCTGGTATTGTTCACCTTTTAATCCTCCTGCAGCCAGTCAGATAAATGGAAATCCAGACTGACCCGTCGATAGTTAACTGTTTTATTTGCAACCTTTGACTTAATCTTTCTTCTCAAATGATCTTTTAAAAGGAAAAGCTGCTACTTATTGGGAATTAGGGAAAATATCTTCCCTGGTACTAATGAGACCCCTTAGGCTGAGGAGAACTGGGTAAATAAATACGGGTGGCGTGTTCTGATGGACATAAATGTTTGGCTTTGATACCAAATGTCTGGTATCAAAGCAGCAGTTTTCTCTTGGATTTTCAAGAGACACTCTGAGCTGTTGGGCCCAGGGCACTTTCTATGTGTGCATGTATTTTCTTGGTGGGGAGCTGAGGCACGGGGTATCTGAGTCTGGGTAATGCTGGCAACAGAAATTGGGACTCCAGTCCCTTCTACTGATTCAGAGGGAGGCAAACTCTCCCTTTCTCATTATAGGCAACAGGCTGGTATATTTTTTAAGAGACACTCCTTGTCCAGTGCTCCAGCATGGGCTGGCTTGGTCCCTGTGCCTTAAATGTGTGCTTGGAGCACTCCTGAAGGACATTACAGCCGTGCTGTTTTGCTCTTTCCTTTGACCCCCCAACTCTTTTTAACAATGTAAAGCCTTGTGAATTATAAATCAAATGTTCCTGCTGAGCTTTGTGGTGCACGGAATGAAATGCGATGATTAATATTTAAGAGAAAATAAGTTAAAGATTCTAACTACAAGGGCAAGTGTCTGTCCAGAGAGTCTTTTCATGTGGAGGTTAGAAAAGAGGCAGAGCTGCGTTTTCAGGGACTTCAGTGAAACTCCTGGCTGCCAGACCGACCCCCGGAGCTGCCGGTGAGCAGGACCACGCTGGGCTCCACCACTCTCCCCCATTTGCTCTTACTCACACTGAGACCATGCGCCCACCTCCCATAAAACCCCAGTTTGGGATGGGACTTGTGAACACACCCCACGCACTTCAGCAAGCGGAGGGATGTGCTCGGAGCAGCTCAGGGTGGGTGCTCATTGAGGGCAGAGCTTTTCCAACACCCAGACCAGGACTTGCTAAACCCCCCCCACAGCTCCTCCTCACCCTCACCAAGCCAGCATCATCTCTGCTCTAGGGCTGACCTCTCATCAGCACAGCCCCGGGGTGGGCAGGACACCTTCTCCCCATTTTGCAGATGGGGAGACTGAGGGCTCAAGGCAGCAGCCACCGTTGCCACCCTGAACCCAAATGTCCTTTCTAACAGCATCTTGGCAGGACACTGCCTCTGGCCACCTGCACACAGAGTCTGTTACAACACATCAAACAAAGAGGGAAACACTTACATGGGTGCAGAACCTCTCCGGTGGGTCCCCACAAGTGATTCCTGCTGGATCCACCCGTACTGTCACGTAATCCTTCATCCGCATGGCCTTGGGTTGACAAGCATAAAACTCCCATGACGGGCCATCATCCGTCGTCACCCAGGACTTGCAAATGTCATATTGTCCCATGGCCAAGGGGAGACAGTGCAAGAGGAGAGCAACCAGGTAGAGCATGGCAGCTGTGCCCAAATGTGGGATCCCTGGGCGAGGGCAGTGCCGAGAGTCCCGAGGAAGGCAGCTACTGGGCTAGGGGTTGCTCTCGGGATCAGCATGGAAACTCCTCATTTAAAAATGATCCAGCCTAAGGAGATCCAGTCGATAACAGGAACGGTCCCCTCTGCACGCTGTACTTGGATGTGGAAAGTTTCTCTCAGTGCAGAAGCCAACTTTGCAAATCACTTGATTGGGAAAGCCTTGGCTGGAAGGGTCCCCTCTGCACGCTGTACTTGGATGTGGAAAGTTTCTCTCAGTGCAGAAGCCAACTTTGCAAATCACTTGATTGGGAAAGTCTTGGCTGGAAGGGTCCCCTCTGCACGCTGTACTTGGATGTGGAAAGTTTCTCTCAGTGCAGAAGCCAACTTTGCAAATCACTTGATTGGGAAAGTTTTGGCTGGAGTTGCTGCTCAGTGGTCAAAAGTCTTCCTTAACCTCATTTTTCCCCCGCCTTTTATTGTATGTAAAGGCTTCCAAATCAGCATGAAAATATCTAGAGGTGACTCCAGTCAATCAATAGAAAGATCAAGTTCTGAGTTGCTGATGAAATTTGATAGGAGTAAATTGGAGAGGCCGTGAGATGGTGCTGGATCAGGTTTTCCTCCACCTTCTTGTCTGCCGCAAATGCGTCGCTGTGGAAAGTGCCTTAAACTGTGGTCTGTCTTAAATAATTATTGGGGTTTTTGAACACTAATACATAAGATAAATATAGCATCTGGTCATCAGTACAACAGCTCTGACAAGAGAGGCTCTTTGGAGTTAAAATTCCTTTCTCCCAAAGGATGGTGGTGTCAATGTAACCGCGTTGGGTGGTGAGATGCGCAGTGGTCCCAGCAGGATGCTGTGCAGTCAGAGGGTTGACAGTGGCAGCACTGGCCTTGCTGCTTCTCCCTCTGTGTCTCACAGGGGTGGTGAGGATTTCTGTCTGACTGCCTCTGGGCAACTGAGCATTAAGTTCCCCAAGCCTTCAGTTACGAGCCACGCTGCTACCTGAGGTCCCCCCTCTCTTTCATGGTCAGGGCAAAGGGATTGTTCATTAGCGGGCTGCACCTGCAACAAATTGAAAGATAAATTAGCTGGGAGCAAAGCTGGGGGGGGAGGCAGGCAGTTGAAGCAACAAGACTTGTAGGAACAAGGGTCCCTCAGGAGACACAGCCCTCAGCTGGGCTTCCTGAGCCACAAGCCAAGGTTTTGTAAGAGGCAGATAAACAACTTTAATAAAAAGAAATCCATAGTAAGATGCTTATGGCTCTTCTGCCGTTTGGGAGATGGGAAGGAGCACTGCCCCATTTAAGGTATCTGGTTTGTAACAGCAGCTGGACAACAAGAGCTCTAATGGGTCTTCAAATAATATCAAGAAGCAGCTATTGGTCATTAGAAGACAGAATATGCAGACAGAGAGTAGGGACAGACAGACAAATTGATAGTCTTAAAAAGATAAGCAAATAAATAAGACAGCTGAGGAGACAGATACGTTGTCCAGCGTCCCCACATATGATTTATCTGAACAATAACATTTAATAAAAAACAATTTAAAGTCCTAATAACATTTAAGGTTCACCTAATACAAAGAGCAATGACCTTCCCAGTATTCATTTCAGGTTAGAGCAACATTTCTGCAATTTTGTCATCTTTCCAGTAGAGCTATGAAAGTCTTAAGTAATTACAAAACAAAATGACAAAGAGCTGAAGGAAAAAAAAAGTAATAAGAAAGAATCAGACCCTCTCCCAGCATTAGACCCAGGAGGGAGATCTCATAAGAGAAGGTGGGAGGCACGTACCTAGACAGAAAATTAGCTTTGGATAATTCCCTTTCTATTTAGTTCCCCAACTTTTCTTCTACAATTTAGAGTTGTCTGCTTCAACAGCATGTTCAGGATTTGCTCTCATAAAAGCTCAGTTACTAAAGCTCAGAATCTCCAGGTTAACAGATGCATTGATCCATGTTCGGGGGCTTCACGCTGCTGTGCTACCATCTCCCTTTCCCCCCTTTTTGGTTGAAAAACTGCTGATTGAGATGAATGAGTTCAGAAAAGAGAAGCTATCTCTCATGCTTCATCACCAGCGCTCAAAGAAGAGCCTATTATAGCAGCATTGGACCTGAATAAACTCCCAAAGAAAGAATAGGCTGGCTGCTATTTTTACATTATGAGTAAATGTAGTAAAAATAATAAACCGGTGTGACACAGTGTTTATAAGTCCCGCTGACATCAGAGCTGTCTTTTCAGTTATAATAAGTCAGTTCCTAATTATTACATCAATCTGGTCACAGCCAAGTCCTATTAACAGCAGAGAGTGTGAGACTCCAGTATTGTATAGAAAACAAGCAGGGTAGTTTTAATGAGGACTCCAGTGCTGCTAAGTTTATGGATCCATTTTCATAGCCTTAACAATTGTATTTTGCACTTGAATGGCTGTTAGGGGAAAAACCTAGGAAGAAAGGATCTATAATATCTATTAGTTTCTTGTTATGCTTGCTGAACGTCAAAGATTCCCAGGGAAATAAAAATTTGCCAGAAAAAATGCATTTAGTGTCAGTCAATCAGGCAGGTGTGCGGGTTCCCTGTGAAGTCTGTGGTGCCACACTTCACCAGCCCAGTCTCTTTGCAGAAAGAGTTGCACAATGTTGCTCTGAAATAAGCCAGCACACTGCAAACGGGGGTGAGGGACTCTCTGAATTAAAGGTTTCGCCCTGCTTGATTTAGTTTGATCCTTAGAAAATAAATCTTCACCTGATATTATTAAGAAACTGCAGTTCATGGGAACAAATAGAATCAATGCCCTTTGTTTTCTTTGAAGAGTACTCAGCAATCACTGGGGACTGATAGCCAGAGTATTAAAAACACAAAATTAGATTGTATCTTGACTTAGCCGGTTCCTTTATGATTTTTTTTTCTTTTATTATTGGATTAACACCCTATTGAAATAAAGAGACAACGCTGAGCAGCACCCGAGCTGCTCTGGAATTTAAGTACAGAAAGTAAACTCAATGTAGGAGTTTTCAATTTTCTTGCAGAAGCGTCGCCTTCAAAATAAACCCCAACCACTCTTCCCCCCCCACACCCCCGCCGCCCCTTACATTGCCCAAGCGTGAGTTTTTTTTCCTCTTCTTTTCCACGCTGCCCAGCCCTTAAGAGAAGTTGGGAAACACCCGCTCTGCCTGCGATGTGACAGGAGGCTGAACCCTCCGAATAACGTTGCAAAGCTCAGAGGAGCAGCAGAAAAAAAAAAAACCAACCAAACACCAGACCCTGTAAATCTCAGTTATCACTTACATTCAGCCGCTCTCCGCCGGGCGTTCGCGGGTCCAGACAAACCGCTGTTGTTCCCCCCACCACCTCCAAGCCCCCTATATAGTTTGTTTTACACGAAAGGACTTTTAGAGCCCGCCCGGGGCTGGGGGAGAAGTCGGCGGAGCGGGCGGAGAGCCGTCCCCGGGCGCCGAGCATCCCCGCATCCCGCCCTCTGCCAACTCCCAAAAGGAAAAATAAAAAACCCTCCCTTTGCCGAGGGGGTGGGGTGTGGGGAAGGGACGGGACGGGACACGACACACACCCCGGGAGACCCTCGGAACAAATTCGGGGAGGGAAGGAGGGGAGAGCCGCTGGTTTTTGGGAGATGGGTGCAGGGATGCCGGCACCGCGCCTTGCCCGCCGCCCCCCCGCCCCGCCGCTCGCCGCTGCAGGTCCTTACCGGGAGGGAGCTCTGCGGTGCGGGGATCCCGGCGGAGCAGCGAACTTCGGGGCTGGGGGGACCCCCCCCTTAACCCGACATCCCCCCCCCCCTCCTCCTCCTCCTCCACTTCACCCCTCTCCAGCCCCTCCGCCGCCGGCCCCCAAGGGCAGATGGCCGGGGAAGCTTTGTGCAATCCCCGGCTCCACTCGCAAGTTAATGCCGAGGCTGAAATCCCTTTTGCTCTCACTTTCAATCACAATCGGAGCTTTTATCTCCGTGCCTGATCCCGGCTGCGTAACTTCCTCTGTGCAGCTTTAGCACACACCATCCCACCGGCCAGCAATGTGCTTCTTAAAGGTGCAGGGAGGCAATGCGAGCGGGGAGGGGAGGGAGGGAGAGAGAGAGGGAGGGGAGGAGGGAGGAAAAGCACCCGAGGAAGAGGAGGATGCGAGCGGGGAGCCTTCAGCCCCGCCGGCTCCGGGGGTACCGCGGCTGCAGCATCCGCGCCGTCCCGGCGGCCGGGCAGAGCCTCCGGTTAGATAACGGCAGGCCGGGAGTGCCACTCCTTGGTGGTTTGTTCTTTCTTTCTTTTTTTTTTTGCCTTTAAGAGCTTAAAAAAAAAATAAAAAAATTTCCAACTATTATAACCTGCTCACATGAGCGATACTTGAAAATTATGCAGACCTGTGAGCAACGTTGCCATCGGGCGTGCGGCTCCTCTCAGGCTTCCAGTAAGGAATAAAAAAAAAAAAAAAAAAAAAGCTCTAGTCACGAGGGTTTCCCCCCGCACGTGTTAAGTTCTGGGTTTGGTGTGCCCTGAATATTTTGGGGAGGCTTCTGCTGGTGGAGATGCTGTAAATGAGGCTGCGTGCGTTGGGGGAAGAGGGGGTGGTTGGAATTAATAGGATAAACAAAGCAGGAAACTCGGAGATGGGGAAATCAGATGGCTGGGAAATGCTTCGGTAACGGTGGGAATGTGCTTTGGGATTTAACCAAACCTGGTTTTCCTTGGTAATTCAAGGAATTGACGTGCAGGGCTGTAAGGTGTGGTAAGATGTAGAAGCCATAGGTGTTGCTTAGGTCAACTCTCTTGTGTCCACACTGAGGGGCAGAGGAGTCTCCAGCCATGGACAGGGGAGATAAAACTCTCTCTGGGCTGGAAGCAGGATCATTCCTAAGCAGCAACAGGTTTTTGATGGACACACGGGTAAATGACTGTCCATTTATGGGGAGGAAAACCAAAGAATCCCCACTGCCCTCTGTGTACACGACCACCAAAAAAGGACTGTTCTTTCCTAACCAAGAATTCAATAATTTCTAAGCCAGAAAGTGTATTGTCCAACTTGCATGTGGCTTGCAATCTCATTGACTCAGTATTTTGTTATATGATTTGCTTTGGCCCATTGCTCTGAGGTCTCTGTGTGGCTTCTGCCATCTAAGAGTCCCTGGAAAACGCACGATCCATCCTGTGACTGGGCAGAGGTGATTTAGAGCTCTCCTGGGAAATGTTTCCCATATACTGGAGCATAAGTGAGATTTATGAAATGCTGGCATGTAGCTTGACCGTGGCCCAGCCTAAATGTTGCACTGATGCACAGGGTGTAAGACTGTGTAAGACTTTACCTGCAAAACTGTCTTTGATTCTGGCTCGATCTCCACTCCTCCGGTCAGGGCACAGACTGATACTTTCCTCATGGTAATTTTTTCTGTAAACACTTATTTTACAGCAGCAGCATAACTTAAGTGGGAAGCACTGGCTGGGAATTCAGGGCTGGCTAATATTCCTGGATTTCACTTTGTGCCTTTAGGTCTTCTCTGTAGTAATGACTCCCCTGGAAATTCCCCGTGTCTCACTTATTACTCCTTTATTAGTTATTATGGAACGGTAACAGGATAAAAAGGAGTTGGTATTTCATTTTCATTCCCTCTAATAGCCACGGCAAAGACCAAGTGGTGCGCTGATTATTGACATCAGAGTTAAGTGATATGCACGCATCATTAGGTTTCAATTGGAAAGAATAACAGCACAGTATGAGTCGTCACACTTCTAAACTACATGGCATTTAAAGAAAAACCAAAGTCGTTTTTCTCAGCCCTGCCAGCTCAAAAGATCAGAAGCTAGCAATAAGACCTGTAACAGACACAGGTAAAAGGCACAAGCTCCAGGCAAATCACCAGAATTAACTAATCAGCTAATACCCCGGGGAGGCTGGGAGCAGCTGTGTGGCTTGTCCAAGGTTACTTGGTGATTCAGGAGATCCAGGAACGAGCTCGGAGGGTGGGATACGGCGCTGCTCCTGCTCCTGGGGTAAACAGACAGGTCTGGTTCCAAGGATCCTTGCCCTGGGAAGGAGAGAGAGAGATTGACTGGGGCACTCGTGGACTCAGGGGCCCAAAGGAAGCGACTGTGAAACAGCCGGGAGCGCGGCTGTCACAGGCAGGAAGGAACAGGGAAGGGTTGCACTGAATCTTTAATTTTAGACCATTTGCATTCTTTTGCCCAGGCACCTTTTGCAAATATTTAATGCCGGGTATCGTTTCCTTCTGGGTGAAATTTCTGCGAGGAGGAAAATGGATGTGTTTTTCCTTGAGGGGAGGGCTCTGTCCCCTCCCTGGCGCTGAGCGCTGCCTTCTCACGCAAGGAGAGCGCGGTGGAAAATCAATGGGTCTGCACTGAGATTTAATTACTACAGCGTAGGCAGGGGTGGAGAATAAGGCCCTTAATATTTAATACAGCCTCTGCTCCCGAAGGGATCCCCGGGGCTCAAGGGCCAAATGTAAACCCATTATAAGCAGGTGTAATTCTATTGACATATGCGGGCTCGCACCTGTTTATACTATGGCTATATTTGGCTCCCGAAATCTAAATGGCAAATGGTGCTTTTGACATGCGCGGGAGAAGGGGGAAGTGTTTTCCCAGCTTGGGATGGCAGAGGATATACTGAAACAGCAGAAGGTAAACGTGACACCTCGCAGTCCCCGCGCTCGGTGGCGACGCGCTTGCTAACACTCGAGCTGAGTTGAGTCCGTGGAGAGAGATCCAAGATTACTGCCAGAATAATAACCAGGCTTCTAAAGGATCTTTCATTTGAGGGTACATATTGCTGTATCACCTATGATAGCAATACGTTCTTTTTATAGTCCTTATCTGGCAACGTGCGGCCAAGGATGTCAAAGTGCCTCCTGCAAGTGAGTAAGCATTTTATTAGGTGGAAACACAGGGCTCATAATTGTGCTCCGAGCCCAGGAACAGGCGAGAGACCTCTTTGAAAGGGAGGGTCTGAGATCATATTTGACAAGCAGAGCTCAGCCTGACCCCTTCTTCCAGCGGTGGCTTCCTCCAGCCAGCTGGGACCTCCAGGGAGAAGTTTGCAGAGAAAAGGGGAGGAAACGACTAAAAGTGCTTTTGTTTTTGGGGTGATGGAGGAGGGAAGGCTGCTTGAACCTTGTGCTTATCGGGGGAGATTCACCTCATCTCACCTCATCTCACCACCCTTGTACTGTCCTTTTGTTCTTGGCAAGCTGGACGTGAAGAAAGCTCCCAGCTTGATCAGAACGGGGAGGTCTGTGCTTCCCAGTTCCTTGTGCGTGGTGCAAAGACAAAATCGATGAGTTTTAAGAGGGAGAGAGACATAATATTTTGTAGTTAGGAGAAATGCTGGAAAACCCACACAGAGCCTGAGAAACTGAGCAACAGACAGCTTTGGTACACGCAGTCCAGGAGGGTGGGTGGGGGATATTTATTTCCTTGCCCTCCCTGCACCCCGCTGCTTTGGCCTCGGGGCCAGGCCAGCAGGAGCTACTGGTCCCCTGCCCTTTGGCTCCCACATACCCCCGTGAGCAGGAGAGGGAAGAGCTGAATTCTTGGGTCCCTGGAGTACTCTACATTTTTTTCCTTTGTGAAAGCTACAGGGGAGATGGCAGAGAGCATCTGCTCTGGGAGGGGAGGCTTCCCCCGGCTCCCCGCTTCCCACCCTCCCGCACAAGAGACCTCGGATGCATTTTCTGCAGCTCAGATGCTTTTCCAGGGGCCCTGGGTGAATTTTGCCCTCCCTGATTAGATAACCAAAGGAGCAGTGCCTGTACTCTCCAGGGAGAAGATGCTGTCTCTTTCCTGCCAGAAGGACAGCTGGAGGGAGGGTGGGATTTTCAGCATGCAAGCACTTAGCCAGATCAAGGAAACGGGATGCAAAGCATTTTAGGCTAAGAAAGGTTGTTGTGCAGGGAAACATGAGGCTGCTGTTCTGTTAGGGAGCAAAATGCTCCCGTGTGCCAAACGGCAGGCCTTACCTACGGCAGGTCGTTGCCTCTTTAAGGGAAACAAGCATGACAAGTCAGAAACAAAAAAAGCCCATTGCTGTCTTTGCTGAAAAACTTTGATCATTTAGATATTATTGATGCGCATTAGCCCCAGTAGAGATGGGCTGGGTGATGGGAAGTACTTCACCTTGACACGGGCAAAATATGTTGCTTTCTGTTGCCTTGTCTTTTGCCTTCCCTCTTGTTTCATATATCAAATCAGAGCTTAGCCAAGTGAATCAGCTCAGGAAGCATTTAAGATTTATTTGATTTTGGGAAAGGTAGAGCTTTCCTTATCTCTACTAGCTGTGGGGGAGTAAGTACGGATAAAAACAGGAGGAGTGTTTAAAGGAGGGATCTATAATTAAAAACCCCTCGGAAGGGGAACTTTCCTTTTAACTTACTATTAAAATGGAAGTGTTTGAGAGTATACGATTTTGGCTCTGGGGATCGCCTCCGTATCCTTGACAGAGCCCTGTGAATTCC